ATTGTTGACATCACTGGTTAAATCCTATTCCTTCGAGATCCGTGTGTAGGAATCAGAGTGAAGTGCTGCTGTGATATTTTAAGTGTTGATCTGCTGTCTGTTAGACATGCATCTTCCTGTGGGTTTCCGACGATGGTGGAATGTATGGACATCTTGTAGTATTGATCTTCAATATCAGCATCTGAGTAAGATCGATGTTTGTGATATATGTACATGTGTGAAGGAAGGTGGCCAGTTGTCACACAGTGCTGTGTGTTGTTGTAGGTCAGACCTCATTGAAATCTGTCCTTGTTATCAGTGAGTTGTTGTACGCCAGGGAGAGGTCATATATTGGTATGTCCTGAATCCATTCTCATGCACTGTCATGTGTGTCTGACGATTGAAAGCTGACGAGGACACATCAGCAACGTGTGCAGAATTCCTCCTCCCTTCTCCCACAGCGTCAGGTAGAAACCTCAGGTAGCCAGTTCTTGTGACGTGGCTTTCTATAATCTACTTAGTTCAGGTCTGCACTTTGATCAAGTAAGCAGTGTTATCTTTTGAGAGCTGATTCTCTTCTACAGAGGATTGTGTCTTACTTTATAAGAATACAGGTGTGGACTTGATGTGTTGTCTTTTGGATTAATGATGCAGTGTGTAGGGGGAGGGGCCAGTCATGTATCTTCACTACCCCCGTGCTGCAGGACTACCTAATCCATTAAGGCTGTGTGACCTTTATCTTCCCCTCGCAGTTCATGCTTCAGGTGAGTTAATGATGGACCCTTGTATTAGGAGCAGGACTGAGTTTATAATCCCAGCTATGACCTGTAGTAGTTAATGGCATATGTCATTAATTTGAGCATGGTAGATTTATAAGGTTCTTGGGGTGCTGTTTACCTTTCCTTGTTTATGTGGGTTCTTTATATGAAATAGATGAAACATGGGCTTATTGACTGGTGTCCTGTAGGGCTGTCACGGGTACCTGAAATGACCCGGAACCGCGGAACAATTCATTCGGTTCGGGTAAGGTTCTGTTTTTCCGGAATTCGGTTCGGTTCCGATTTGTATAGTAGTGTAGGTTTTACTATAAAGATGGCGTCAAAAACGAGAGATTTCTTAATACATTGCAATTATAAGGTGATTTAAATAATATGGTACAATTGTTGTCTAATCAGGAAGCTACTTTAAACTAGTTAAAATGTTGCTATTTCGAAGATTAAATGAAAATATTCTTTTTGTTGTTGAAAATAATACAAATCATTAGCTTTTATTCCATTAATTACCCGAACCGAAATACCCGAAACCGAACCTAAAAAAATCAGAACCGACCCGACCCGAAAAATTTTGGAACCGTGACAGCCCTAGTGTCCTGTGAGATGTACCTATCTTATGTAAAAATTCATGTGCAGATAAGTGTAGGTTGAGTGTAAGTGTATCAATAAGTATAAATTTTTCAAGGTGTGGTTGTGTGTGGCCAGGAATAAGAGGAGTTCAAATAATAGTACATGTACAATGTACTAATGTGTTGGTGACAGTTCTCTAAATGTTCTATGTTCTATATCATCACCCATTCTTTAAATGCAGAATGTATACATATGCATTTCCATTATATTAAATCTTACGAGTTAAATTGATGTAAACAGTCAATATATACATATTTAAAGGCATAAAATTAATGCAAAATTTTACTGTGTTTGCTTACATTTGAAGAATATTTATGGAAGAATAAAAATATACATTTGTCAAGGGAGATAACTAAAAACTTATATAAATTCTGAAATTTAAATATCTATTAAAGTCTTCTTCATCATGGTTCCTTTTGGTTCCTGGTGGAACATAGGGCTTCCACGACAGTTCTGCATCAAACTCTGTTTTGAGCAGCCTTTTTTTTTTTTATTAAAGTGTATATGGATAATTTTGACTACCAGACAAAGTGATTAAGCTAAGACTGCCTGTACTTTAGTTTATGAATAAGTAATGTTAAAGGAATAATGCACTAAATGAAAAGGCATATACCCACCTTAAACACTCATTTTAAATTTTAATTCATTCAAAGAACAAGGTTCACTTTTGACAAACCATGTTTTAGAAAACGGGGACTATCCACAAAATGCATTATGACGTCACGAAATGCGTCAAATATTTAAAAATGTCACATATTTTTTTGATATTTAATATAGAGCGCAACCTCTGATCTAAAATATGCAACTTGTAAATGATAGAATTGTTTCCGTTTTTATTTTTTATAGATTTTTGAAATTTTAATTCATTCAAATTTAATACATGTACAAAGGGAAAAAAAATAGTTCCAAGTCTAATTTTGGTCCAATGTAAGGAACTAAATGATTTTTCACCTTGAAGGTTGGATGCAGATAATTTTGCAATTTCTAGAATGTTGAATCTTGAATTTTAGCCCATCAGAAAGCTAAGAATCAAGAAGTGAAATAAAAATCATGAAATTGTTTCATGATATGTTCTCTTGGTGCAAAATAAGAAAGGACTCCAATGGGCTGTTGTTTTATAAGAACATGAGTCTCCTTCATTCTTGCCACTGATGCTTATATGCCACATATAAATTTATATCTCTATCTCTTTTTTTGCATTAGCCCATTGGAAAAAAATGAATATGGCACTTATGAACCACCATTGAATTGTTTGTGGTTTTGTCATAGGAGAATCATGTGTATCAGTTTAGCCCTGAGAAATGTTTTCCTCATTATAACTGGAATGTACCGAGTGAGCCTGGAACATCTCCATTCAGCACTCTGCTCACACTGTCTCTGTTACATGTCTGTATCAATCTCTGTAGGTCCTCAGATTACATGTACTACTGGATGTTTATACAGAATACTAAAAGCTTTCTGTCATTTCAATTTAATCCCTAAAAAAGCTCCCTCGGTAGGTTTTAAGTTAACCAGAGAGTGTGTCACTGATATGAAGGCGATCAATGTGTTATCATTATTGATAATGTGTAGGTGATAAAAGTTTGTGATAATTAATGTATGTAGATATTAAAATTAAATAAATGATCTGTAAGGTATTAATGTGTTGACATATCTTAATTAATGCACTTATGCTGGTTTTATGACTTGGAGGCCTTCCTTGACTGTAATTGTTTGAGTAGAATGGCCTAGGGACCAGTAGCCCAGTGTGGACTGTTCCCACCTGTACAACACTATGATTTATGTGAACTCTATCACTTCACTATGTCATTATCAGCTCTCTCCAACATGTGATCTGGACTAACACTTCTATCTTGTCATGGTGGCTACACATTCACAGTTAAAACTAGTTTTACAGAGGTAGGGAATGCTTCATTTCTCGGTATAACCTTCACTGAATGACATTTTGTAGAATTTCCATTTCTGACATTTATGCTGGTGAAGAAAATTTGAATAAGATAATAGAACTTTTCATAAGAAGACGACATTCCGTTGATTAAGTATGTAAAGATTGCACCAGTATCTGAGATTGTGGGCAGTTTGCAGTCAGTATTGATTGTAATACACAGTAGGATTTGGAGCCTGGCTGTTCGCTCCCGGAATACTGAGCTAGGAAGAGACGGTGAACTATTAAGTTTGTCCTTGTCAGTGTTGTTATTGAGTGGTGTTCCTCTCTAGGCCGGGGGACGTTAGATGCTGTTGACTTGCCTCCTGTCGGGGGTCAGTGTTCCATAACACCGCCACAGATCCCATTGTAGGAGAGCCGTCAGTTATGTAAACAAGCTATTCTACTGACAATTTACCTGCTCAAATCGACAGTGTGTACACACACACATGGTACAGGCCCTCTGACAAGTGATTGTTCAGCGGGGAGAAATTGAATTTTGTGCACAAGGATCTGAGTCATGTTTTTCTGACTGTGACTAGTGACTTAAGTACTCTAGTACTAATGTGTTGTCATGACTTCTTCATGAAGAAGCAGTTTTCAGGTGTGGATATATAAATGTAGGTATACTAGATGGACATTTAAATGTATTTATATACGTGAGCAGAAGGTGAGCCCACTGTTTTTTTATTCACCTCCGGACATGGTTTGACATTGTGGTTTATTTTTGTTATTGATTAACTTCGTGAGGTTCCATTTAAACTGGAATGTATATGTGCCGTAATTAGAGACATGTTTGTCTAAATTTGTCATTCTGATAGGAAGAGCTGTTTGGTGTTCCAAAATGGCTGCTACATGTTAAATTGTGTAACACGCCCTATTTGCACATGGTTTTAATATGGTGAAAATAACAGTATTGACATTTACCTGGATGGGAGAAAGTATTGAGAGGTATATTGATTGGTTCAGATATACGGATAACAAAAACAAGATGGTTCTGATGTAGACCTGTAACCTGTGTAATATCAGGAGTTCTCATATTGAGGGATTTTACTGCTGTGTAGGTTTTAACTTAGGGTTGTAATTCTTCATTTTAAAGATTGATCAGCATAAAATCCATATGGGAAGCCCACACATTTGATTATTTTGGTAGCATGCCTAATTGTAGGCCATTACAGTTAGGAATTCATTTTACCTCAGGCAATATGACAGCCTGTCAAAATGTTAAGTTCATTCTGTATATTAATGTGTCCTGTTGCTTATTGGTGCTTCTCACCAGATCACAAGAGTAATTTTTATATCATGATTATTGAAGAGGCACTTGAATGAATTCCTATTTTGTAGCTATTATAGATACAGAATTTTTAACATCATGAAACTTTTTGATTTATTTATGTAAATACGTTGCGACAAGTTTGTTTTATACATGTCCACTGTAATAACCCCCAAGATTGTGAATTGTAGAGCAAGAAATATATACTTTGGGAGTGGTTTCTAGGCATGGTTATTGATTCAATTTTACCATATACATCAAGTTCAAATCTGCAATTTTTTTTCCATGATTGTATAAATTTGTGTGGAAATATGAATGAAGAAATAGATTTCTACTGTGATGAGGTTCAAAAGACATTTGTAAGTTTTTAATGAAGTATCCTAAACAGTTTTGTTAAAATTTCAAACCTATGTCTTTTCAGATGATTTAGATGACAAAAGCAAGAGAAGACTGGATTATAGTGACACAGATGAAAATGGAAATCCTCATACACCACTTCTTCGAAACGAGTACATGCACATGAGAGAAGGTCCGAATTCTCCTGGCTCCTCCGTGTACCCAAAATCCACCAGATATGATTCAATTGAAAGGTTTCCGGCTTATTTAAACAGGATAGAAGATTCCTCCTCTACTTCTAATCAAGAGGCCACAAAGAAACGCAAAAAAACCAAGAAAGACAAAACAGTAGAAACCATCCGAAAATCGGAGGAAATTGAAAACTATCAAGGTTCTAAAGAAATTGACGAAATATTGTCATTTATTGAAAACGATGGCACCGGGCGAAAACCCAAAAAGGTGTCCAATAATGGTACAGTGGACGTTAATCCTGTCAAATCTACAGACAAAAATAACAAGAAGAATAAAGAGAGAAAGTCGAAGGTAACAGCAGGAGACGTCAAATCTTCAGACAAGAAGGAAAATAATTCCGAGAATAGTGTGAAGGAAAGCTCCGAGGAGAATCGGGAACATTCCGAAACCTGTAGGATAGAAATGGGAAATTCTAATGAAAGATTCAGCTCACCAGAAATAAAGACTGACGACTGCCAAGGGGATATCAAGGACCGGAATCACATTATTGTTGATAAGTGTGTTATGGAGGACAGTAAACTGGAAGGTGAGATGATGAATGGGGACATTACTTTTACTGAGGAAGAGGCTGTGGCGATTTCCAACAAGAAATTAAAAAGTTTGGAACCAAAGGGAGAGAAGGAGTTAATGAACCATAAAGTGGAAAGTGAGAATGCTGAAATAATTGATACTTCTGGTAAAGTGACCAAGGACCCCCAAACCGACACAAATCTTAACAATATGAAACAAAACAACATGAAAAATTCCAAAAAGAAACACAACATAGTGTCTGACAATAATAAAAAAGACAATGTTAAAAACTCTGGTGAAAAAGAGCCAGAGGAAAAGATGGTGGAACATAAAAGTGACCCCAAAAGTATTGTGTTGGGAGACACTGAGGAGGTAGATAAAGAGAGTGATTACTATATCTTCACAGACCTGGACCTTCCCAAACCAGTGGAGGAGGAATTCCAGGTCGTAGGAAAAAAGAAGAAAAAGGGTGTCCCTGTCTCCGTCAAAGAAATCGTGAGCAAGGATGCTACTACCACCCAGCGTGTTCCACTGAGGGAGGAGAGGCGACGACCCCAGAGGTCCATCACCCCGCCCCCCACCTCCCTCGTCAACTCCCTTGCCATGGAGGACGAGAGAAACAGAATGAGGGATCTCAGTCCATCATCCTTCCCGGCTCTTGGTGCTGGAAGACAGGGAAGACAGTCTTTCAGAGATGGTCGTCGCAGTTCAACTGGGGACGTACCAAAGGAAATTCTTATCAAACCTCAAGACGACAGTGATTTGGAGTCAGTAAAATCACTCCCTGCATCAGCACAGGCCGTGTCTCCCAGACTCCAGATTTCATATGCAAAGATGGCCGCCTCCCCGAAGCCAAACAGTTTGGTGTCCACATGTCCTGACGAGGACTCTGAGGACCCCAGTAATGTGTCTGTTGACTTAAAATCGGCCATTTGGAAGGGAAGTCTTACAGAGAGGAGGCATTCAATTGGTTCTAGTCCAGAGGGTAAAGAAAACGAAGGCTCTTCCATTCGTCAGAAATTCGGAAGTCAGGAATTGGTCAAACCAGAAAAAGAGGAAGGTCTGTTCAGCTCTACACAGTTACCTTGTTCACCTGAGAAATCACCTTCTGTAGTGGAGAGTGTGAAATCAAACTCTTCTCCCAATCCCTCTGTGGATAATAGTGCTGCCATTGACAGTGTAACTGTTACAGACGCTGTGTCGAACACTAGTGTGACTAAAGCTAGTGATAGTGAATTCAATGAACCTCTGGAGAGTTACTCTATAAAAAACACTACCCAAGTGACTGTAAACATGGTAAAGAATCAAGGTGCAAACAATCAGATATTCTCTAAAATTAAGGTGACAAAATCTAGTTGTGAAGCCTCAAAAACAAGCAAATCACAAGTCTCCTCTAAACAAAAAGTTAGTGCAAAAAAGCAAGCAAAATCTGTCATTTTCTTGGACAGGGGTGAGAAAGAACATGAGAACTTGGATATTGTGTTTGGATTTGATCCTCAACTGGAAGTGGAGGAACCAATGGTGTCTGTATCAAATTCTGTTTCAAGCAGTAGTTTACATTCCGCTGCAGGGTTAGCCCAAACTAAGTCTAGTGAAAATCTAAGTGTTGACTCAAACAGTTCAAAAGAATTGCCCCGTGTTCCCGTGGTGCACTCCAGAAGTGTCACAAACAATTCTAGTTACACAAATACCAAGGACTACAAACACTCGGTTAGAAATTCCAAATCAGCAACTTTTCCTTTAGAAGGGAAGAACGGAGTGAAATCAATTAGCACCTTAATTTTCTCCCCTGATTCCAAGCACCCTTCTGCTCAGCAGTTCTCGTTTATCAGTGAGGACACGTGTACCCCCACTGTGAGTGATATGATCTCCAGTGAAGCCCCCAGTGAGGAGGGATATGTGACAGTGGTTTATGGGGAAGAGTGTAGTGCAGTGTTGGGGGCAGAGTCCAGACATCCCCCACCGCAAATCAGATATCGGAAAGAGACCGGGGATATTCTAGGGTGCTTTAATAGGGTGGATGTAACCAGCTATCTTATGAGAGGTATGAATATATGCTCATATTTGACATTACTGATACAGCAAAACTCGTTTAGTACGAACATGGATATTGCGAATTTACGGATATAGCGAAGTTATCTTGGATCCCCAGCTATATAAATTTAATGAACTTCTTATACGGTTATAACGAATTACGGATGTAGCGAAGTAATTTCATAGGTCCCTGTGACTTCGTTATAACCGAGTTTTGCTGTATTTAATTAAATTTTTTTTTTTTTGAATAATTATTGACTAAGTTAAAAAGATCATAAAAAGAAATGAGAAATTGTGGTGTTGCGGACTCAATCAGACAACTTTGCTGGAAGGCAAAAGTGTATCATTATTACAGAATTTTTTATTTTTGGAAATATATTAACAAGTATAGTGATAAGAGCATTATGTAAATGTATTGATGATGAGGCAATGCACCGCGATTGATGGATTATTATTCTGCAATGATTAATGCAAGAGTAGATGAATATATAACCATGTCTAAAAGGTTCTAAGTAAGGATTAGATTTAGTATGAAAATGTATAATCTTCTAATGTGTCTACCAAAATATCTGTTTAAAATTACCTTCTTCTTTTTTTTCATTTCAGAGTGGGAGATTGTAATGAATTTGAAAGAGAAAAGTGAGTATTATGGGTCATGAAATATAGACAATTAATACAGAAAAGTAAACACTGAAAAGAATTCCATAACTTCTAGAAACAAAATTAGTCCTTGTACAAAGAATACGACCAAAATACCTGGTTTTGATGATGTGTTATGGGTATTAGACGAATCTCGCAGAAAAACCTATAAGGCTTTTATGTTATACATAGATCAATGGATATTTGTCTAGAAGGTACTTGCCAATTGATTTCATTTATACCTCCTGTATAGAGTTCAATACCATCTCTATTGAATTGGAGGCAATTGGCATTATTGCTGTATAGTAAAAGAGCTTGAAGCCTTAGGAATGTTGACGAGCTTAAGATTGAAGAGAGATTGGAAGTTGTTCACAGTTTTTCCTGCAGATGTAGAAGAGTGACAATCATACAAATACAATGAGAATTTGCTTGTATGTTCAAAAATGGAAGCATCTGTAGTAGGCAGTGTACAAGGCAATTTTGGTGTGAACAATAAACACAACAAAAAATTATATTTCATATTTTGAAATGTCCTCATTTTATAACAGCAAATGAATTGAATGTTGCTAATTGAAGCTTGTCTTTTACATTACAGATCCAGGGAGCATTCTCGTCCTTAACCAGCACTAGGCCTGCTCTGCTCTTAGCTTCATATTGCCTTACCCCGCCATCATGTGTTGCTTGGATTTTAGTTTTAACCATTGTTATTAGAGAGTCAAATAATTTATCTCACTTTTTTGATGTTTTTGTGGATGATCAGTATTTTTATATCACATGTGTATCGAAAAATGGAACTTTGATGAAAGCAAGTTTTTGTTTCATTGCATTATGTACTTTTTGACAAAACATAAAAAACCATCTATGAATGAACTCAACAAAATGACAAGAAATATCCAGTTGTATGCTGTTTTGTATAATCTATCATGTATATTTGCATACATTCCAAGTGACGTACATATTTGGAATCTCTGATGGGGTAAATTTAGGGATAGGTAGAACATTCTATTTATGATTTTGGGATTTTGGGGGATAGTGTGTCATGTAACTTTTTTCTTGTTTTTCAGTAGAATATTATTTCAATTTTTCCTTCATGGCTGATGCTTTTTCCCCCATATATTAAGCTTCAGCCAAGCTATATTTATTGTGTTGAAAAATTAATAAGATTCTCCAGATGACAAAACTGCAAACTGATATGATAGGAATTAAAATAGGAGGTTGATGCTTTCATGTAAAACAAAAGATTGGCTTTTTTTAAATATAGATTTCTTATCATATTTGTAAGCTTTCTATGCTTAACATTCCTTGATACTGTGTAAAATAAAATGCAATATATGGAAATGATGTGATAGAAAAGTTGAACTTTTATTGTGTTCCTGAAACAATTCACCTTTTAATGTAAAACTTTGTTTCTTTTACTTATTTCAAACTGTTAGAGAAGGTGAAATGTCGATCCTTCCTAGCATATTACTGATTGCTGGAAGCATTGTTTATCAAAGGAAAAATAGTGACTAGAAGTAAATATTGAATGTGAAATTTTAACTTACAATGCCAAAAAAATGGTGAAGAGAGACCAGTAATGCTTCTTTGACAGTGCTTTGTATGAAATTGATTGGTCCTTTGTTAATGAACCGCTGTGACCACCAAGGATGCTTCATGGGTTCAAAGGTCAGCAGGGGTCATCAGAGCAGGCATAGGTGTGTCTTATTGAAAAAGAACTGTTACAGACTGTGGAAATTCAGGGAGGATAACTCCGCAGTCTGTGAGAATTCAGGGGAGAATACTCTTATTCTGTGGAGACATTGGATGAAGTTCATTAAGTTGAGACTGAAAGTTGTGGTGTTAAGTTGTCGGCATAAAATCAGGCCTGACCATAGACTTCAGTCTTGTAAACAAAGTCCGGGTAAGAATCCTTACTTAATATCTTGAACATGTATTTCCATGTACTTCGCATTTTCACGTCATTTGATGGTTTTCTAATAATGTGGAATAAGACTAAGAAATCATTTCTATTCAAACATGTACTTGGTAACATTTTCATTCCTTTTTTTTTCAGAGAGAAAGTATTAAAATGAGAAGATGGGAGGAAATAGATCCGAGGAATATAATAATTGGTACCAGCTTTATAAAAGTTTCTAAATATTGTTCTTCTTTTGTTTACTCCAGCAGTCGGAAAAAAAACAATGGATTAATCAAAATGATCTATGCCAGAAATCTTCCTGACACTTTTTTGGTTTCTTCATCAGATGTGTTACATGTGATTAATCATGTGAGTGTCTGCCATGTGTAAGAGAGTCAGTAGTGGGATCTAGTCGTCTATGGCACATCTACATGTATTCTCCTGGGTATCACAAACCTTGATATTTGGGCTTTATGTCATGGATCACAATGTTATTTGCTATTTGTTTCATTGAATTATATTTATTTTGTGTATGCTATTGTTTTGAATTTGTTCATATTTTGCCATGAATGGTCTGAAACACCGTTTACAAGGGTGCTGACAGGGAATTATCTATGGTAACACTGGGGGATAACACTGTTATTTCAGACTTAAATTGTAAATTTTATCTTTTTATGAAAATTGTCTTGCCATGGTAGATGATCCTTTTCCAATTTTCAAATGCCTGTTTTTCATACTTGAATATTGCTAACATTTCTAATTATAACAGGTTCATAAGCAAATGGAATAGAGTTTGGAATTTTTGTAATTTAGATTGTTTACAAACAAAGATAATCCTGCATTATTGACAGTATCAATCACCACCCCTGTCAGCATGTTTGTGATGTGTTGTGTAAATGCCCAGCCATCAAGGACATTTACACTGAGGCATTGTTATATGTAGCTTTTAGGTTTGATTTTTTTTTCCCCTTTATGCTTATTAATTTTTTTTTTTTTTGATACTGTTCTGTTTTGTAATTTTTTTCCGGCATATTTCATGTCTATTGAAAATTGTTATTGCTATGAATGATTGTATGTGTGGTACTTGATTATTTGTTTAAGAAAAAAAAATTGTCATATGATTTGTTCAAGTGTTGAAAACTTTCTAGGATGATGTTCAAATTTTATATATATACATGCAAAGGGGAGATGTTTTGAAGTCCCAGTTCTTTGTCTTTATACAAGAAGGTACTTAAAACTGGAAAAGATGGGATTCAGATGGTAAATAAGAACACCAGTTTCAACTTTTTCAAAATTTGCACAAGAAGTTATCTTTCAGTAAACTAAAAACTTCAAAAAGTAACATGAAATTGGAAAACATGTAATCTGCTTACATAAGATTCAGAAAATTTAATGTTTATATGTCAACTTTGAATTATTGTTTTATATAAAAGTTGTACAGGTTTTCAGGAAATTTTCTATTGTAAAAAAAAATATTTTCTTTTATTTTTCAGTAACATCAAATATTATTGGTTTTCAGTTTTTATATATATTGAATCACCAAACGGGGGAAGATTTAATTATGTTTATAAGTTTGATAATGAACAAACTGAAATTTGTATTTTTGTTAAGATGGTTACAGAGATAAATTTTTGAGATAATATAACCAGTGTGACTGGTGGAATTGTTCCAATGCTACGTTCTCTTGTTTGTGATGAGGACCTCACTGCCATAAGATCTAACAGTTTGTATAATCAGCGGAACAATGTAGAGATGCTCAACATTCAGTGTCAGGGGCACAATGTGTCAGGTTATTAACAATAAAGATTACTTATATCAGTCAGCCTTTATTTTTTCTGTTTACATTATTGGTTCATTTTTATGCCACTAGTTGGAAGGTAAGGGGCATTTTGCATTTGGTCTCTGCCTATTAATTATACCCTTGCTTGTAACATCTGAACTTAGAAACATGGAAGCCTTTTGCAATCTCTTTTTCACTGTACTAAAACATTACACAATTTCAACTTCTCCAGAACCACAGGGCCAATTTTAATCAAACTTGCCACAAAGTATTCTTGAGTAAAGGCAGTTGAAGCTTGTTTAAAATGAAGGGCAGTGCCCCTTCCAAAGAAAGTAGAAGAAAAGGCAAAAGTATGGAGTCTTTTGAAAATTTTAAATTCCACTTGGCCAGAAAAGATGAAAATTATAAGAAAGCTTCCTGACATGTAGATTTGTGTGTTCAAATCCCTCAGGGGTAAATAGGGTACACGGATAAATTTTTACACAGGAATATACTAGGGGGAATGAGCTACAAAGCCATGATAAGTTTGAGGAAGCATCCTCGGATAGTGTAGAATTAATTCTTTAAAACTAAAACTTGTGATGAAGTCACAATGGATGATCAATTTTACAAAGGAATGTATAGAAATAACCTTTTGATTTCTTTTCTCCAGAATAGCGGGGTCATGACATACAGCAGCCTTAAGTTTCAATTTTATTCCAATCCTGATATAAGTGTAAGCCAGTTCTAAGTAGGCCCAGATAGGATATAGCCTAACAAACACATGATACTCAGGTGACTGTTGAGGCCTATAGACCTCCTGTTTCTGACAGTTTTCTCAAGAACAGTTTATAAATGTGAAATTGTCCTTAAGAAGGCTGGGGGGTCAACAAATTAACCACAAGATTTAACTTAATCTTTTAGATAGGATACCAAGCTATCAACTATCATTTGGCAAAGAAAAATTTCATATATTTTAGTTTTAAAATGATCATTTTAAATTTGTATATCTTTATATGGAGCTCTTCTTCTAAAGGAGGTCAAAGTAGTCTGAAAATGGTCACAACCCACAGCCCCTTTAAGGGGGATGTACGGCCACCTTTAGTGCAGTGAGAACGAAATGTAAACATTTCTTCTAATTGCTAAAATACATTATATTTTGATCCAATTTTAAGTCTTTATGATAAAGATACAATAAATATGCATAACTGAATGCATGTTGTGCATATATAATCTATACTTTTGCAGAAAAATGCTTTTGATATGCTCCTTAGAACTGCGCAGCTACAGAATTCAGCAAAGCCTTAAAAAATCCAAAAAAATACGCAAACTGTGCATTAATGTTCTCTCTACAACCATTTGTTGAGAAAATGTCTAAATTTTGCACTTTTAAATGATAATTTCAAGTTCAAAACAATGTATCGTTGTTTTCAAAAAGAGTGAAAAGAACCATGAAAGTAGTTCATGGATAGCAGCACGTGGTCTATTTTTAGTACAGAATTTTGTTTTCCAGACCTCTTCTTAATATGGAGGGACATAACAATCTTTAAATGTAGAAGAGAATTACAGTTGCAAAATATTTCAAATAATATGAACACTTTTAAAAGAGGAAATGTGTTATAGTGTTTCTTGAAGTTATTTATTATTTAGTATTATTATTGTACAGTTGTTAAATAGTGTACGTATTGATATAAAAAAAATCTTAAACTCTTTGATTCCAGGTAAGGAAAAATGAGCACCATCAAAGTTAAAAATTAAGAGTTTGTAAGTTTGTCACAGATAACTTATAATATCTATCAAAAGTTTTATTATCACCATTGAAACACAAAGAAATTAAACACATAAAATCGATATGAATGACCTTGTTTTAGTATCTACTAGTACGAGGGGTGATCAAAAAGTTCGCGAACTATCTCGATACATGTGTATCTATAAAAAAAAAATCAGATTAGAAACAAATTTGGTGCACACATAGCCAAACACAAGTTCTGTAAATAGCATATGCTGAATAAAGTTTTGCTCACAATGTGAATATGACGTCATTATGCAACTACTTGTGACGAAAAATGGTTGTCTCAGTGGAACTCGGAACAGAGTGGAACAAACGACTAAAATATTTATGGTATATCTTAAAAATGCCTTTGAAGTAGCGTATGAGAATTTGTTCACAATATATTAAGACAAATGACTTCCTATAAATTCAATCAATGATTGGATAGATCGTTTTAGTGAAGGAAGGCAGATGGTTAATATGTTAATTTATATATATATAGAGAGAGGGTAGATATTTTAATAAAATGTAAGTTTAAGCAAATTTTCTGAATTGATAGGATAGATTCTATCACAAACGTGCCATCCATATATAATTTATGTGAAAAAAGTCGAACAGGCCCGGGGGTCTACTAGTATATGGGGGGGGGGGGGTTCCTGTCCTCAAGCACCTGTGAATTTCATTACAGCGGAGCAACATTGGAAAAGGAATGAAATCATTCAGCGTGGGTTAATGGGAAAAAAAAACTTTTTTTCTATTTGCAAATTTCGTCAAAATTACAATTTTACAGAGTAAAGAAAAAAAAATCAACATAATTAAATATTTTATACCATCTTTAAAATGACTTTTGGTGGTCCTCCCAACTCAGGGAAAAATTATTGGGTCGGTATTTATAGGTGAGAAAAAACTTCCTTAAAATTTAAACATATTTGTTGACGGAAGAAAAAAAATATCGTGTAATGGGATGTAAAAAAAAATTGAGTCGGGCCATTTCTAGGCAGTAGATCGGGAGAGAGGGCAACCGAATATTTTTAAAACAAATGGTCTTATAAGGCTAGTACATGTTCCATCACATAAGTAGTAATGAAACTTTTTGTAAGTAATGTAACTTTTTGAATCTTTGGCACTATTTTGAAAAACAAACATAGGATTTCCGGGGGGAGGGGGGCTATAGCCTCTCACTGTTTTTTTGCGATGATAGACATAGCATATGCAATGGACTTTTCTTTGCAAACATTGTTCTTGCTTCTAAATTTCAAAGGAACAGCTTCGTGTGTTCAATGGGCGAGAGCTTACAACGTTGTCAACATAATGAGACATGATTTTTTTTTATGTCCAAACATTACTCCATACAATGTGTGGGTCATTGCAAACAATCTAGCTATTTATGTGAGGTGCCTGAAGGAAATCTTATAACTGCCTATTTTTTCTGTCTAACAGCTGAACAAAATAGACAATGTACCAACTTTTCGAATGTAAGACATGTAATTACAATTTGTTTTTCATGCACTGCATATAGTTTAACTTTTCCAAATTAAATGCTAAGCATCCTCCTTGCAGTGCCCCATTTGAAAATAACTTCTATCGCCACAGAAAAAAGACCCGACGTAAACACATATGTTTAGGACATTTTTTATCTTTTTTATTGAGTTTTAAAGAAATCAACAAATTATCAAGACTTGTTCCATGAAAAATTAAATATAATCATGGTCATAAACGCATCTATCCACAGCAGATATATGCACATGCCAAGCACGTGCTCAGTGGAATAATATTAGCAAGGAAATTCGAGCTGTAAACAGAACAGTTTTTCCCGATTTGCTGGAGTGGGGTTAAAATCGCGTTTTTTCATTATTCAGACGATGCGATGCAACAAATAACAGTAGTAAGTAATATAACATAATGATTATTACTTAGCAATTTCTTGTCTTGATGTTATTATGGTCGCATTTATTCTAAAATCAATGTTATTCGAACTCTGTGTGACAGAGGAATGGCGGACGAAATAAACACATGGCCTCAGGAAGACACCCATAGAAATTTTTCAAGAATTGTGGATAATGACAAGAAAAAAGCGAAACAAATGATTGTAGCCATATTATCAATGAATCAAACTAACACCATTTTCAATGCATTTTTCATCTCGTGAATGCTGTAGCTGCGCAGTTCTAACATGATTAATTTCCTCCTAATTAAAACAAAATAAACTTAATTATTTACTAATTTTGGTCTCTAACAGAAGGTAATTAGTGCATTAACACTTTGAGTAACTTTGGGCTAGTTTAGAAGTGTATCAAGCGCATTCTTGGTATTTCTTATTTTACACCAGACTAGATTTAATATGGCTTGTACATCCCCCTTAAGTAGATTAAGATTTATTATGATCATACACAATGAACATGTACAAGTTTTTCTACAATGAAGTTTTCCCCTTGATAATTTTTCAATATATTCTAAATTTAAATTCGTTGTTCCATTGACATGTTTTATAATGTACTAAAATCAGAATACTGTTCCAGTGGTTTTGAACAGATATCAAATAATGAAAAGTCTAGTGTTTTTCGAAGAAAAATTTACAAAAAATATATATTTATCTGGTGTTTCCTTGAAGATTGATTCAAAAGAGGTGTACAGTATTATCAGGCATAAAATCTCATTCCTTCAATTTTTGAAACTCTTACTACAGGGAAAAAGAAACTGCTACATATGTCCTTAACATCATTACCCTTTGGACCAGTTATATAGGGTTCTTGAGTCTTACCATGGATTAAAAAGACCTTTAAAATACTGAACAAAAGGCCCAAGGGTCTAAAATTCCTCATTTGATAACTTACAAAATAGCGTCGCTGTACTCTTGGGTCATCGACACTAGGCCTGAAAGTATCAGGTCTGGAGACCTCGGAACCAAACATCCCCCCAGGAATTTGCAGTTATTAAATGAACATATTAAAGACAGACGGGACGTTCCTCAATAATATATAATTTTCTTCAAAATTTTGTCATTGAAGAATTACTACTTTAACATGTTTACTCACAAAAAATTGAGGTACCTTACCAGGCATTTGTGCGAGATACCAGAGGATGGCATGTCTTATATAATCCTTTAGGAAAAAAAACTAAGTTAGCTAAAATCAAATTTTTAGTGTTTCAAATTTTTAAAAACAACTAGAAACCGGTTTAGAAATCAGAAAGTAATTAAAATTTTGGATATTTTTCATATATTATGAAAATATACAAAACAGCTATTTGGGGAACGTATCGTCTGACCTTAAGCAAACTTCAAGCAGGGTCTGACAAATAGATTTTTAAGGCAATTGTCCAAGGGCAGGTACATTGTAATAATTCACTTAACCTTAAGTTGTTGATAAAATTTCACTTGCCCACCCAAAATTCACTAGCCCCAGGCATCACGAGATGGGATTTGTCTTCCCCTGTAAAGTGACTTTGGACCCCGCCAACCCCACCCACCCCTTATCGAAAACCCTGTTCAGTTAGGTTGGTATGAAAAGTATAAATCAACAACCCTGCAACTTGCCTATTTACGTCCATGCTATCTACCGTATATTCCATCACATAACTTCTATGTGAAAACTGTTGTATGCTTCAGGACAATCTTCATACTGAGCTCTTGGTCTTTGGATATTTGATAAAGTATTTAAGATAGGGCCACACCTTCTGACTCATGAACATCATAATAATTATGATAATATAGGAAGAAGCATTCTTGCTGATCATGAGTTTAGTTTATCTGGGTTAGGGTAAAGAGAAGATTTTCAAAGAATGAATGCATTTTCACTTCATATTCAATACAGTCCAATACTTACTCTTAGAATCTTCAACCAAGGGGCCACGAATACACAATTTTGAGAGAGGCATCCTTTTGTTTTGCGTTTGTTCATAACAGTTGAATACCTTGTCCCAGTGTGAAGAATTTGAAGATTTTAGTTCCATCCCTCTTGCCTCTTGAGCTGCAGAGTGATTTTGATTTTGATTAATTGTTCTTTTCACTTTTTCTTTCAGAAATAAAATGAACACTGTTAAATTGACACAATTTTATTGTAACCAAGGTTACCTTCTAAAATATGCTTAATGACTAAAAATTTATAACAGAATTTTCTGCGCAATATTTACAAAAGACATGATTTTGCTTCATGCATAAATATTTTAGGCAAAGTACAAGTATTTACACAATATGTCTGGTTGAAATGTACAGGCTAATTTTTACAGAATGGTTAAAATAATGTTATTCCTAAGATTGATTTTATTATGTACAAATTCTGACAACTAAAAATATCATTTTCCTCTACATATACTTGCACTGAATGCAAATATCATAACAAAACAATGCATTGTATAAATGACAATAAATAATCCTAATTAAATTCAAAAACAATGTAAAAACAATCATAAACAAAGATAGGATATATAAAGAATATCTCACTTGGGATTTATAGTTGAGGGTCATAAACCATTAAAGCTATAGGGTTGATTTTTCAGCAGTTGCACAACTTTAACAAGTCAAACTTGTTCTCAATACAAGCCTTTTCAATCTTTATAAATCTCTGGGTTCTTTTTCACAATCATTACACATAGTGAAGATAAACCAAATCATGTTTTAAACATGACCACGATGAAAAATGTACATCTTAGATAAATAAAGTACTGGTACATTTAAAGGACTTTATTAAATGGTGTCTCAATAATGTCAAGTTTTAATATTAATATTCATATTGTTCTTCTTAGTGACAAATACCTAACTTTGTTTTACCTCCATAAATATCCTTACTGAAATCGAGATGTTAGACAGTTTATTTCACCAAATGACTTACATATTTTTCCTTTTATTAAATACGTGTATACACAATCCTTGAACTTGTTTTAATTTGCAAATAATGATCTCACATTCCTATACCTGTAGTTTCTTTTAAAATAATTACCGAAGTTCATTATTTCGTGATGAAATGCTATGTAAAAGATTCATTAAAATCAGAATCATAATTAGCTTCATTACAAAGAAACATTCTTTAACAATCAATGGAATTAAATTTTATAAACGGTTACATCCCACATTCTGTGGACTTGATGACAACCCTGAGTTACCCCGTTCTGATGATATTTACAGCGAGGGGGATAAAGTGAATCAGCTGCCCTATATAATGCTGGCTAGTGGAGAATGGGAGGGTAGTATTTTGACGTGTGAGCTCCTACACTTTACGCAAGGACTTTTTCAGAATTTCAAGTATAAATCTTCTGTGATACAAAACCTTGAACAGATAAATTATTAAAAATCTATAACTACTGTGATTAAACTGACTTTTCATTTTATAAGTAATTCTAATTTGAGGAAGAATCAGATCTCTCAATAAATCTCACTTCCTGCTTAACTTTGATTTATTGCAATAGGTACTAAAGGTAAACAGGATTTATACTAATATATCAAAGACAACTCCTTAAGAAAGACTGAAAACAACCCATACAAAGATAAGTTACAGACAGTTACATTAACACACATAGGAAGTTGTGACACACTGACTTTTTGTTTTTGCAATTTTTAAGTACTGGCCAGACTCTAAACAAAGCCCTTAGGAAAAAATAAATCCACCAATAAAATACAACCTCCTTTTCTCTATAAATCTAAATACCTCTTTAAATCTTACATTATATAAACTCCTTATTAATTTAATACTCAGGTTTGAGCTAATTACAATTTATCATATAAAAATTCTCCTAAATAATCACATGAAATCTATGGGACTGATCCTCGGAGAGTGGACTTAAGTAATGACATAGGTTCTTTCTTCCTTTCCTGTCCTATAGAATTAGTGGCATGGTCCACAATGCTAAACACAAACTGAAGACAACCAACTTTGATATAGCTCCCATGATGCAATAGTGCTGTTCCTTCCCATCCTGCACCACTTCCTCCAATCAGACTTGAGCTGCTAGCCTTACAATTACAAGGCTTCTTGTTCTACAAGTAAACAAAACGCTGCAATCAGGCAAATCTGCAAGTTTGCTATTTATGCCTTCATTATGTTAAAAGTGGTTGTTATGCCACTGCAGCATTGCCAGTCAGTATAAAATTTTGTTTTCCCTACTATAATATTTTAAAAATTTCCACTTCAATGATTAACATGAAAATTTCCATTATTCAATGACAAAAGTATATCAGCCTGGAATGCTCTGGCTACACTACTCAGAATTTCGATAAAAATGAAATTTCCACTTTGTGTGTATGCCCATTTCATCAAATTAATACATCAAGTCCAGATTTACCTCATTAGCTTTGCCACTCATTGTTAAGCGTTTTTCTTCCTTCACCTCTTCATCTTTGGGTTTCTCCACTTTCTTATTCTTGATGATTTTGCGGACAGCTGCTACGACAGAAGTGGGCTGCGGTGTAGATGAAGGCTTGTCACTGAAGTCACATGAGTACAGGACATTGTCCACTGTTGTTCCATGCTCACTGTAGTTCAAAAGCTCGTAGTGTTTGGTTGTCTGAAAATCAAGGAAATGTTTTCATTATATCTCTTCTAATACCTAAGTAGAACTTTGTGTTTAATTCTTCCTCATATCAATACAATTTGCTAATGCATCAAGTCATTTTGTTTCAAATTCTACAAAATTAGGCCAAAAAAATAATAGTCTTGTTTCCTGCTACCAGCCTGAAATAAAGTGCCCCGCCACAGCATGATACGCCCGTCAAATACTGTTCAATAATTATACATTGGTTAGGATGCAAGAAAATCAGGTAGCCTTGATTAACAGATTGACACAGATTTCAATTATCTAATTTCCATTTCTTATTATACATCTCTAAGAGACTTACAGTGTAGGGATTGATTATAACAAATAATACTAGTGAGACATGTCTGCAATTTGTCGCAAAAATATAATTTTTTTTTTCAATGAACACATGTATAATTAGTTTTAATCATATTATACAATACTAATTTAGTTTTAATCATACACTAGAACATCAATTGAAAGACCTTTATCTGGACTAGCCATCCAGAACTCTTAATTAACACAAGCATCTTTTTGTCCAACTCCTTAGCTCCTGACAATAAACTCATTAATTTCTCTCTAATTTGACATGCAATTTTCTGCTATCAAAATTCTTCTTGACCAGTGCTTGATAATTATGCCCATGGGACAAACTGAATTCCTCTCAAAGCATAAACATTTGTTACAGATTGCTGTAAAGTATATAATGAAAAAATAATTTTTACTTAATTTAACGTTTTTTAATTAAAGGATACAACTATGTTTTTACATTTTTTAAGATTATGAAATTTAGAATTTAAAAGACATAGTTTTTTTTAAAGAATTCACTTTAATTAAAAGTCACAGTGACCTTGAAATAGGCTGTGACACACCTTCTACTTTAGATCAGAGTTCCCGAAACTAGTCAAAAATATGTCGGACAATTGTCCTGTAAATATTCAAAATTCACCGGACAGTTGTAAAATTTACCGGACATTAATTTTTTGTATGTAAATTTAAAATATTATAGGATTGGAAATTGTGTCCATATAATAAATAATATGTGTAAATGAAAAGATGGCAAATGCAGATTGTTTTTTATAGATTTATTGAAATATTTTCTATTAGGCCTGTGTATGCGGGATTTGACGTCGCCGACGGTGTGTGATGACCAATGCTTAATTCATCCTATTAAATTATTGTGTCCTTTCTGACAGACTTTTTTGAATAAAATCTGCAACATGACAACTTTTGGTTGATTGTTTGGAATAAGTCCGAAATATCTGTCGTTTTCCAGGCTTTTTTTTAAAGGATTTTGGTACATTGTATTTTAATTTCTGTGCCAGGAAAAATATGTAAAATATCAAAATCGTTTAGCCTGAAAAACGTCAGATATTTCTGACTAGTTTTAAAAATCATATTATACAACCTCCACACAGTTAAAAATATGTATTAATGATATAAAAATGTGCAAATTTATCACGAAAATTATGATTTTAAGTGAATTTGTTGTCGTTTTATTACATTAAAGTCAGTCCGCTATTTTTAGCAAAGGGGAAAAACGCGCATGTATTTTAAATGCTATCAAATACATGAGAAAAAAAAATCCAAAAGTTGGTATAATATTAATCATGCTAATAGATTAAATTATAGAGAAAATAAGAAATGGTAACAAGTTGTCAGTAATCAAGCAGAATAGCAGGCAACTCTTGCAACCCTGCAAATTCGTCCTGCAAAACGAAAGTAGATTGTCACATTTACTACAGGGTGCATATATTAATTAAGAGGGAAAAATATTTGTTTGACAGTGTTTTTAACTCTTTTCCCTCCCAGACTTATGGAGATTATTATCTTAATATGTAGCTTTTTATATTCACCGTCTACAATTTAATTAAACAAGAATGCACGAGAATAATCTGGCGCGCCCCTGAGGCCTGACGTTTTTTTTTTTTATTTCCTTTAGTTTTGCATTTGTTTATTGTCTTGACAATTGAAGTAAATGATTTGGTTAAGATTATGTGTAATTGTTATACAGTCTGTAAAAAAAACCATCGGACATTTTGACCGATAAAATTAAGATTTTACCGGTCCCATTCAAAGTTTACCGGGGATCCCCGGTGGACCGGTGCGTTTCGGGAACTCTGTTAGATGTATACTTTTGCCAAGTTTGAAAGCTCTAGGTCTAATAGTTTTCTAGTTATGAGCCAGACAGGATTTTTCCATATTTTGCTATAGCATCTTTGTTGCAAATATATAAAAATTGAAATATAATTTTTTTTTTCAATGAACACATATATAATTAGTTTTAATCATATTATGCAATACTAATTTAGTTTTAATCATACTCTAAAACATCAATTTGTTTTAATTACATTACATCAATTAAAAGATCTTTATCTGGACTAGCCATCAAGAACTCTTAATTAGCACAAGCAACTATGAGGCCATTTCTTTTTGCCCAACTCCCAAGAGATAAATTAAGATAACATCTGCATCAAATCTAGAGATGCTCTTAGCTCCTGACAATAAACTCATTAATTTCTCTTTAATTTGACATGCAAATTTCTGCTATCAAAATTCTTCTTGACCAGTGCTTGATAATTAAGCCCATGGGACAAACTGAATTCCTCTCAAAGCATAAACATTTGTTACAGATTGCTGTAAAGTATATAATGAAAAAATAAGTATTTACTTAATTTAACGTTTTTTAATAAGCATACAACTATATTTTTACATTTTTTAGGATTATGAAATTTAGAATTTAAAAGACTTAGTTTTTTTTAAAATTCACTTTAATTAAAGGTCACAGTGACCTTGAAATAGGCCGCGACACACCTTCTACTTTAGATGTATACATTTGCCAAGTTTGAAAGCTCTAGGTCTAATAGTTTTCTAGTTATGAGCCGGACAGGATTTTTCCATATTTGGCTATAGCATCTTTATTAAAGGTCAGAGCGACCTACTTTTTGTGCGCGACACACCGTCTACCCAAGAAGTATAAGTTGACAAAGTTTCATAATCCTAGGCCTAATAGTACTCAAGTTATGAGCCGGACAGGAATGGACAGATGGACGGACGGACGGACGGACATGAAGCCTATAACATAATACGTCCCGTCTTAAGACGGGCGTATAAAAATAGGGTAGGTAGGTAGGAAAATTATTTTATTTTTTTATTTTATTTTTTTCAGTGGTATTTTTTTAATATGAACTTATACAAAACCAAATAAAACATGTAATATGTCAACATTATATTTTAAAATTGGATATTATCACATCTTTACAGTTTCATGAAATGCCACCTGACTGTATTTTTTTCTTCACTTTTTGAAAATGAAATGCCTCAAATTCCCAATTTTTTTCCCCAAACTTAAAAAAACTTAAGGGTCTGGTGCAAAAAAATAGGGTAGGTTGGGTAGAAGGAAACAAGACTATTTTTTCTTTTGGCCTTATCAATCTTTCATCTCTACAATATTTACACCTAGCAAATGAAAGAAAAAGTGAGCTAGCTCACATACCCCACGCTCCCCAAAAACTTGACGATGAAACACATAATGAAAGGCACAATGCACTTTAAATACATAGTTTAAATCAAAAAGGGCAATAATTGCAAAAAAATCTTCACATCAAAATGTCTTACATATGAGGACATTTAAATGTGGAATGAAGTTTCTACATAAATAATGGAATCATAATTTCTTGGCATTATACAAATCCAAACATTAAATTGAAGTGGTTTTGGGGGGGGGGGGGGGAGAAATTTTCTTGAATAATAGGCAAAACTCTTCGGGATAAAAAAAAAACTATGTAAAACAGTTTAAGAGGAGTAGTACTGACAAACTGTTCATCTCTATATTATTCTAAATATGGCCAAAAAGTCTAAGTTGGAAAGAGTGGAAATTCCCGGAAAAAATAAAGAAATCGGAATTTCCTGGTAATATGCACATCTACATATTGTGTCCTGAATATCTACAGAGATTGACGAAATTCTGTCCAGCGGTTTATGAGGAGTTGCACTGACAAACTGTTCATCTCTATATTCAAGGTATGACCAAATGCCAAAGTTAATAAGTGCGGAAATTCCCGGAAAAAATAATGGAATCAGAATTTCCTGGTAATATGCATATCTACACATTGTGTCCTAAATACCTGCAAAGTTTGACGAAATTCTGTCTAGCGGTTTATGAGGAGTTGCACTGACAAACTGTTCATCTCTACATTCAAGGTATGACCAAATGCCAAAGTTAATAAGTGCGGAAATTCCCGGAAAAAATAACGGAATCGGAATTTCCTGGTAATATGCACATCTACACATTGTGACCTAATTACCTGCAAAGTATTCAAGACGAAATTCTGCCAAGCGGTTTATGAGGAGTTGCGCTGACAATCTGTTCATCTCTATATTCAAGATATGGCCAAATGCCTGAGTTAAAAAGTGCGGAAATTCCCGGAAAAAATAAAGGAATCAGAATTTCCTGGTAATATGCAATTCCCGGAAAAAATAATGGAATCAGAATTTCCTGGTAATATGCACATCTACACATTGTGTCCTAAATACCTGCAAAGTTTGACGAAATTCTGTCCAGCGGTTTATGACGTGTTGCGCTGACAATCTGTTCATCTCTATATTAAAGGTATGGCCAAATGCCTGAGTTTAAAAGTGCGGAAATTCCCGGAAAAAATAATGGAATCGGAATTTCCTGGTAATATGCACATCTACACATTGTGACCTAAATACCTGCAAAGTATGAAGAAATTCTGCCAAGCGGTTTATGAGGAGTTGCGCTGACAATCTGTTCATCTCTATATTCAAGATATGGCCAAATGCCTGAGTTAAAAAGTGCAGAAATTCTCGGAAAAAATAATGGAATCGGAATTTCCTGGTAATATGCACATCTACACATTGTGTCCTAAATACCTGCAAAGGTTGACGAATTTCTGTGCACCGGTTTATGAGGAGTTGCGCTGACAAACTGTTCATCTTTATATTCAAGGTAAGGCCAAATGCCTAAGTTAAAAAATGTTGAAATTCCCGGAAAAAATAATGGAATCGGAATTTCCTGGTAATATGCACATCTACACATTGTGTCCTAAATACCTGCAAAGTTTGACGAAATTCTGCCCAGTGGTTTATGAGGAGTTGCGCTGACAAACTGTTCATTTTTATATTCAAGGTATGGTCAAATGCCTGAGTTAAAAAGTGCGGAAATTCTCGGAAAAAATAATGGAATCGGAATTTCCTGGTAATATGCACATCTACACATTGTGTCCTAAATACCTGCAAAGTTTGACGAAATTCTGTCCAGCAGTTTATGAGGAGTTGCGCTGACAAAAAAAGAGGACTGACTGACGGACTGACTGACTGACTGACTGACTGACGGACGGGTCAAAAACATTATACCTCCCGCAACTAGTTGCGTGGGGTATAAATATGCAACTGTATAAAAAAAAAAAAAAAAAAAAAAAAAAAGAACACAATTTTACCTCATCATAAAACACATATGCATGTTTGGGAGAAATATAATTGCAGTGTCCAAACTGGGTCAAACACACATCCATGTCTGCACCTACACAATAAAACAATCGTAAAAAATATATCTATATAATGTGCTACTGTAGAGCAATGTACATTTATGAATAAGCAGTTAAATTCAATTCCACACCTCAGACTAAGAACTGACCTGTTCCAATATTGAGGGTTCTATAACACATGGATATTGGCTGACCTTTGCTGGTCAGTGGACAAAGGACTGCTCGAGCTTTGACCTCAGTGCTACCTATTATAAATAATTTTGTAAAAAGTTCAAATTATTATTTTTTATAGATATTTTCATCTGCATACAAAGCCATTCAAAGTTTTAACATATAAAAGTGCAGAAAATATGACAGACAGAAACTCTATGACATCTGTTGGTCAGTCTTACACACCTGCTTGGTTGAGCAGTCCATTTAACACCCCCTTCTTGTTTGGGGTCTGTGGAGAGCTGGACTTGGAGGGTAATAGCTGCTGAAGTCTCTGCCAGGCCAGGATCTGAATCAATTTCTCGTCCAATTTACTCAGTTCTATATCTGATAAAAAATTCATCAATCAATAAAATGTTTTGCTAAATGTATTTAATAAATGCAACACTTAAAAAAATCTTCAGATTCCATACCTAAACCAGAAGTCTCTGTCTAGACTGTAGCTCTACTGGTTTATACTTAAAACAAAGGAAGAGAAAAGTAGCAGTTGTGACTTGAGACTTCAAAACAGGAATCAATAGAAAAATGATCCTTGACACTCAACAAAATAAAAACTGATGCACAGAATTATGTATCTTAGTGTAGTCTACTTGTGTGCCAAGTTATATTAAAATCGGACCAAAACTAAAGGAGGAGTAGCATTTGAAAGAATTTCACAGAAATTTCTATTTTTAGCAACCATGGCAACACTGTTCATCAAAATTAAAAACCGATGCACAGAATTATGTATCTTAGTGTAGTCTACTTGTGTGCCACATTATATTGAAATCAGAACAAAACTGGTGGACGAGTAGTATTTAAAATAAAATTTCACAGAAATTTCTATTTTTAGTAACCATGGTAACACTGTTCATCGAAATCAAAAACCGTTGCACAGAATTATGTATCTTAGTGTAGTCTACTTGTGTGCCAAGTTATATTGAAATTGAACCAAAACTGTAAGAGGAGTAGCATTTTGAAAGAAGTTCACAGAAATTTCTATTTTTAGTAACCATGGCAACACCGTTCATCGAAATCAAAAACCGATGCACAGAATTATGTATCTTAGTGTAGTCTACTTGTGTGCCAAGTTATATTGAAATCGAACCAAAACTGTAAGAGGAGTAGCATTTTGAAAGAAGTTCACAGAAATTTCTATTTTTAGTAACCATGGCAACACCATACATCGAAATCAAAAACCGATGCACAGAATTATGTATCTTAGTGTAGTCTACTTGTGTGCCAAGTTATATTGAAATCGGACCAAAATTGTAAGAGGAGTAGCATTTTGAAAGAAGTTCACAGAAATTTCTATTTTAAGTAACCATGGCAACACCGTTCATCGAAATCAAAAACCGATGCACAGAATTATGTATCTTAGTGTAGTCTACTTGTGTGCCAAGTTATATTGAAATCAGACCAAAACTCTAATAGGAGTAGCATTTTGAAGAATTGTTTACAGACAGACAGACAGACAGACAGACGGACAGCTAGAGAGACGGACGGACGATGGACGCATTACTATCGCATAAGCTCTTCTGGTCTCTGACCGGAACTGACAAATTATTTTCATGTCTGTGAGATTATGAATTCAAATCAAAGAGAAAATCCTTAGGCGACCATAATTTGATTTTTAGTTTTACGGATTTTTTTTCAAGAAAGGTCAAGTCGGAGGACGAAAAAAAAAAAAAAAAAAAGACAAAAATCATTCTAACAACGACCTTTTTCACATATAAAAAGTCACACATTTCACTGCAGTATAAAACAAAACAATAAACAACTTACAAGATATGTTTTTTTAATATTAATACACATTACTTGTATAAATGTTGTTATTTATAAAAATGACAACTTTTAATTCAAACATTGTTTAATATGAGTACCATTTAATATTTGAAATTATATAAATTTAATTATGTTCTTCACTGTATAGTTTGCACATTCATTTGAATAATATTCAGGGTAAATATCGAAGTTTAACTTGGCAATTAAAAGATTTAATAATATTCTGCAGACGATCTGAGTTTCAAGCTTTTAACTGATGGATGAATGGATTTTTCTCATTATAAGGAGCAAGACAACTGTTTCCTGGAGTTAATAAAGATCTGAAATTGAAGGAATTGGAAGTACCTGTTAGCCAAACTTAAAACTTTATACATTTTTAAAAATTACATGCATAATCTATTGAGAATGAATTAGATGGATTCTTAGATCCTGCATTCTTTTTTTCACTCTTAGTACATATGATATCAAAGCATTATTGTAGTCCTGTTCCAATCTGCTAATATTATATTTTGAAATTCAGAAACTTTATTACCCTGTTTAGCTACTTAAATTCAAAGAAGTCTTCTACAGGTACTGTCAAGTTGCTCTGCAGTTTCAAGGGCTTTTATATACTGGTGTTGATGTAGGATTTGCTAAGTCACTGAATCTCATAATACGCAGTGTTCCCTCTGCAGACTCTTTATTAGTTACCATGTACTTGCTTTCATTTCCTCTTTAAATTATTAATAAAGTACTATAGTTTATGTCTTTCCTGGTCACCGTATTATTTATGGAGGAATTGTTTTGTTTTAGGCGCATATAAACTTGTTTGCAGCAAAGTATCAAAAAAATTCATATCGTTATTTACCGCCCTTTTTTGCAAAATTTCCACATCTGGTATCTCTGTCTTTGATAAAAAAACACTTTTTATGAGGATAATGAGCAATTAGAACTGCAATTACATCTGGTAGCACAGTTGACACCTTGATTATTACCTGTTATCAGTGGCAATAAGCAGATTAGCTACCGGTAAACACTGCATGACAGCCATTTTTGTTTTGACTTGTCGGTATTTTACAAATCGAAGAAGGTAAAAAATCCGGATATTTTCGAAATCGGTAGAAACAGCAATTAAAAAAATAGAGAGAGACATGCGATGGGGAGGTTTCAGAATTGGTAGACTCTCGATACAATCAAAGTTGACAGCTCACCTTCTTCTACCATTCTGCACATGTGTTTTTTTTTACGTTTCTGACTGATTTGCTTTTATAAAACACAGGTTTGACACGAGCGGATTGAAAAATTCCGATTTTATTTTTTTTTTGAAATGCAAATTTTTAGAGTCGGCGGATCCGTAAAACTAAAAATCAAATTATGGTCGCCTTACTCTTCTATTTTTTGAGGAGGATACCACTTTAACACCTGTTCTTTCTAGACATTGTTCACAGTTGGAGTGAGTTATTTAGGTAGACTTACCCCCTGTTCCCTCCAGACATTGCTGGAGTGAGTTATTAAAGAAGACTTACCCCCTGTTCCCTATAGACATTGCTGGAGTGAGTTATTAAAGGAGACTTACCCCCTGTTCCCTCTAGACATTGTTGGAGTGAGTTATTAAAGGAGACTTTTCCCCTGTTCCCTCTAGACATTGTTGGAGTGAGTTATTAAAGGAGACTTACCCCCTGTTCCCTCTAGACATTGTTGGAGTGAGTTATTTAAGTAGACTTACCACCTGTCCCCTCTAGACATTGTTGGAGTGAGTTATTTAGGTAGACTTACCCCCTGTTCCCTCTAGACATTGTTGGAGTGAGTTATTTAGGTAGACTTACCACCTGTTCCCTCTAGACATTGTTGGAGTGAGTTATTTAGGTAGACTTACCACCTGTTCCCTCTAGACATTGTTGGAGTGAGTTATTTAGACTTACCACCTGTTCCCTCTAGACATTGTTGGAGTGAGTTATTTAGACTTACCACCTGTTCCCTCTAGACATTGTTGGAGTGAGTTATTTAGGGAGACAATGGCATTGGATGAGTTCTGGCTGCCAGTTGTGGAAGATGGTTTGCCACCTGAGATCGTAATATTGCTATTGGAGGAGGCTCCACTTTTACCTGCAATAAAACATTGTTCATAAAATTGCATCTTCATGATCAGAATTGCAGAAATTTCCTCTATTGTCTGATTATTAATAAATTGAATATAAAACAAATCATATAGGATTTCTTTCTATAGATATTTTTCCAACAGTAAATATTAACACACATGAAATACTGGCCCCATGTTTAAGTACGTACCAGTGGTAGGTGTGGAGACAGTGATGACTTTAGCCGTGGAGCCTACTGTGTTAGTCCTGCCCTGTACGCTGGCCACTTTAATTGCTGACTGTCCAGACACGCGCGGAGACAGGATTGACGTGGAACTGCTGCCACTATTAGCTGCCAATGTATTGTTTGCTAGGAGTTTGTTGCCCTGAGTGGGACCTAACACTTTTGTGACTACAGTATTGTTGGCTTTGTTGATAGCACTAATGACAATGTTTTTACCCGATGGAGTAGTAGAAGTAGATGGCCCTGAGGTGGTCTGTTTGTCCACGGATGCCCAGTTCACCCTCACTATGTTGGCTGGAGATCCATCAACACTTTTACTCCTGGATTTGATTAAAACAGTCTCCGATTTACTCTTACTGGATTCCCCCACTTCACCATTCACAGAACTTTGTGAGGAGGGGCCTGGGGGATGTAATAAGGAGATTGCACCCCCTCGGTTTCCTTCTAAAGGTCCATTTGAAATAGCGTCTGTAAGGGGACCATTAAGGGGTTTGTCTACCTCCATATTAGTCACTTTAGAATCACACACGCCCCCTTCACTGGGCTGCGAGTCACTGCCCTGTATCACAGGTTGCACAGAGGCTGTAGGTTTCTCCGTTTTGACACTCTGTTCTGTTTTACCAGAATCTGATGAGGACTTCTGTATCTGTTTTTGAGCTAAATGTCTTGCTATACTGGTTTGTAATGATACAACTGCTGACAACCACTGAAATGTTCAACATGTAAAAAAGAGAATTGATAAAAATAACCAGAAGTCTCTGTCGAGACTGTAGCTCTACTGGTTTGTACTGATCAAACACCGATGCACAGAATTATGTATCTTAGTGTAGTCTACTTGTGTGATAAGTTATATTGAAATCAGACCAGAACTGTAGAAGGAGTAGCATTTTAAAGGAATTCCACAGAAAATTCTACTTTTAGTAACCATGGGAACACCGTTCATTGAAATCAAAAACCGGTGCACTATTATATGTAAATTAGTGTAGTTTACTTGTGTGCCAAGTGATAATGAAATCAGACCAAAACTGTAGGAGTAGCGTTTTAAAGGAATTAACAGAAAATTCTATTTTTAGTAACCACTGCAACACCGCTCATCGAAATCAAAAACCGATGCACTATTTTATGTATCTTAGTGTAGTCTACTTGTGTGCTAAGTGATATTGAAATGAGACTAAAACTGTAGAAGGAGTAGCGTTTTAAAGGACTTTCACAGAAAATTCTATTTTTAGTAACCACGGCAACATCATTCATCAAAATCAAAAACCGATGCACTATTTTATGTATCTTAGTGTAGTCTACTTGTGTACCAAGTGATACTGAAATGAGACTAAAACTGTAGAAGGAGTAGCATTTTAAAGGAATTTCTCAGAAAATTCTATTTTTAGCAACCATGGCAACATTGTTCATCGAAATCAAAAACCGATGCACTATTTTATGTATCTTAGTGTAGTCTACTTGTGTGCCAAGTATGAAATCAGACCAAAACTGTAGAAGGAGTAGCGTTTTAAAGGAATTTCTCAGAAAATTCTATTTTTAGTAACCATTGCAACACCGCTCATCGAAATCAAAAACCGATGCACTATTTTATGTATCTTAGTGTAGTCTACTCGTGTGCCAAGTTATATTGAAATCAGACCAAAACTGTAGAAGGAGTAGCGTTTTAAAGGATTTTCTCAGAAAATTCTATTTTTAGTAACCATGGCAACACCGTTCATTGAAATCAAAAACCGATGCACTATTTTATGTATCTTAGTGTAGTCTACTTGTGTGCCAAGTTATATTGAAATCAGACTAAACTTGTAGGAGGAGTAGCGTTTTGAAAAATTGTTTACAGACAGACGGACAGACAGACAGACGGACGGACGCATTACTATCGCATAAGCTCTTATGGTCTCTGACCAGTAGAGCTAAAAACCACACAATATTTGATCATTCTAACAGATATGGAATGTTAAAACTTCTAGCATTTTAAAGTTATATTAATTTTTTGACTAGTATGACTTTTCTTTTTTGTAGAGTTGGGTATTGCGAAGGAAAACCATATTGCGATATATTGCAATATTTTACTTTGAATATTGCAATATATTGCAATATATTGTAGATTAATTATCATTAATAAATTTGAGCAGAATGTTTGAAATGCTGTCAAGTTCAAAGACTATTTGAATTTATCTTTAAGTTTAAAAGCGGGAGGAGGGATAAGACATTGATTGCACACCAAATTTACACTTTACTTTTAATCAAATTCCAGGTAAAATAGTAAAATAAGATGAACTCTCTTGGAGAATTTTCACATTGAAATAAAATTTTTTACAGATTATATAATCTTTTTTCATTGAATTTTTTTTTTTTTTTGGGGGGGGGGGGTTAATGAAGTAGCATAAAATGTTATTAAAGATTAAAACAATATACATATTAGGCCTATATGAAAATAATTTTATTGTGGTTACAAAATAGAATTTAAACAAGAAATGTTTGTAAAACACTTATGCCCCCCTCCCCCCAATTGGAATTTTTTTGCAAGTCCAAGGGGGCACAACTCTATCAAAAATGGCACGATTGTACCCAAAGCAGAACTTGACCTAGATATTCATCTGATTAATCTGTATTTTAAATTTCATCTCAGTATGTGCAACGGTTGCAAAGAAAATGAACGGAAACTGCAAATAATTGAAATTTTTTCAAACTCCATGGGGCATCACTCTGTCAAAAATGGTGCGATCATACCCAAAACAGAACTTGACCTAGATATTCATGTGATATATCTGTATACCAAATTTGATTTCAGTATTTGCAATGGTTGCAAAGAAAATGAGCGGAAACTGCAAATAATTGAAATTTTTTCAAACTCCAAGGGGCATAACTGTGTCAAAAATGGTGCGATCATACCCAAAACAGAACTTAAACTAGACATTTATGTGATATATCTGTATACCAAATTTGATTTCAGTATGTGCAACGGTTGCAAAGAAAATGAGCGGAAACTGCAAATAATTGAAATTTTTCCAAGTCCAGGGGGCATAACTCTGTCAAAAATGGTGCAATCGTACCCAAAACATAACTTGGCCTAGATATTCATGTGATATATCTGTATACCAAAATTTGAATTCAGTATGTGCAACGGTTGCAAAGAAAATGAGCGGAAACTGCAAATAATTGAAATTTTTCCAAGTCCAAGGGGCATTACTCTGTCAAAAATGGTGCGATTGTACCCAAAACAGAACTTGGCCTAGATATTCATGTGATATATCTGTATACCAAATTTCATTTCAGTATGGGCAACGGTTATGAAGAAAATGAACGGAAACTAAATGGACCGACAGACCGACGGACCGACAGACCGACCGACAGACAGCAGCAAAGCAATATGCCCTCCCTTCTTCGAAGGGGGGCATAAAAACCAGAAAGAAATTGTGACCTGTTTTCATGAGTTTTGGTAATTTAGTCTAACCCGACCTAATTTCACATCAAGACGTACAGTCAGGAAATGGTCTGTTTTAATACATACATGCTCCTGCTATAGCATAAGGTGTTTAAAATGACATGGAAATTATTAAAATTAATTAAAACAACACTGCTACAAGTGAAAACATGGATGACCATTTACTTGTAATATGTACATGTATATTGAACTTGACATTTCACCACGATGTCGATCGTGTAGATTCAATGTGAGATTTTGAGAACCACAATGCATATGGTATACACCCTGTAAAAATGTTTTATATATTTTCTTCCTTATAAATTTTATTTTAAAGTCTTATTGATTAGAAATTTTATTTCAAAGTAAGATATTCAAAACTGCAACAGTGAGTTAAAAGCTTCCACCCCCTCTCTCTCTCCTCTCTCTCTCTCTCCCGAACGAAACTGACGAAGAATTCTTCCAACGAGAAAGAAAAAGACTTAAAAGTTTCCAGTTTTATTTTAACAGTTTCTACAATAAAGGAGGTTTTTATATATTTTTATAAATATCGTGAAATACCGGTATCTGATTTTCATATCGCGATATATTATCGTGGTGGATAATACCGCAATATACCGATATACCGGTAATATTGCACACCCCTACTTTTTTGCTTGAATACATTGCATTGTGGAAAAAAAATAGTGTCATCTATTACTCAGATCTGAAATATAGTCAAATCTATTTTATCCCAAACTCAAAGGGACCAAGGCCAAGGATCAAAATCATCAAAAAATGATTTGGGTTTCCAGCTAACTTTGACATTTTTCTGGATTTGAGAAGTCAGTTTCAAGAACTGCACTCTAAAATTTCTGGAAGTATTTTTATTCATTTGTTAAGGCTTGAGAAATATTAATTGTTTTGAGTTTGTCTTAAGTTTATTTCTTTCAAAAGAAGTGATTTTTTTTGTTAAAACTCTACCTCCTCCTGATCTTCCAGTGTAGTGTCCGGGACTGGCTTCTCGTCAGTTTCCACTACCGCTGTCGTGCTGGAATCCGTAACACGAGGCAGTAAGGGTGAGGGGTTTTGATAATGAAGTTTGATTGCTTCTGGAATCTGCAAAGAAAAAAATAACAGCATTAGACAAACAAAGGATGGTTACTACTACTACTTCATAGCCCTGATTTAAATCTGAAAGTGACTGTAATGAATATTTCTCAAGCAAAATTACATAAAAATTACATAGTAAAAACTTTAAATAGAACTAGAAAACTTTTTTACCGCTAATGATTTGCGCTTCGGATGTTTGACTTTGATCCTAAATGGTGGACTCTCTCTGTGGACCTTGTTTAGGAAGTTGAGTTTGACGGTATGCTGACTGATGCGATTATTGAACTTGTTCCATAATTTTATGCGCTCAGTGAGCCCAACACTTTTCAACAAATGTTCATCCTGCATTTAAAATAAAATATATCAAAAACACTGTCGATAAAACAATTCAGTTTGTTATTGTCAATTCTGAAATTTTGATAATTACTACCACTCACTATAACGTTTTCTGGGTGGTTTGGACACATCCATCGATTGGTAGGTAGAGAGGCCAGGGGAGGATTAAGGCAGTCCAGATGATAAAGTAAGGGGCAGTAATCACACTGAATCAGGGCCCCAACACGACAGCTCCTAAAATAAAGATTTACCGTGCAATGCTCGGAAGTAAAATATAACACTAAGTTGAATACTAGCCATAATTAATGGCTATTCTTATATCTTTTTTTCCTAAATCTTTCTTTTTCTGAGTAAATAATCTTCTGCATTTACAAGATCACATTTTCATTCCTATTCCTTGTATTGAGCAAAAGAATAACTTCCAGCGAGGCATCTGATGTTTTAATACTTCGTAGAAAATAAAATGTTTTCCTCCTTCAACATACTTCTTTTTATATGGGTCATATAATCAATCATAAACAAAAATAGTTCATTTTAAAAACAAACAAGCTGATTCCAATATATCCCCCATAAACTTCGTTTGCGGGGGGTATAACAAATGTTCTTGAGTCACTTACTTGCTGCAGTAAAAGCAGAGCTTTGCTGGCAGTGGAACTAAGCCATTATCTAATTCATGAGCAAACTTCTTATTAGGATTTCTCTCTCTGCCCCACCATTTCCTTTTACTAGATCCTTTTTAAAAAACACAAAAAAATATCATCAAAATTCCCTGTGGTAAAATTCACTAAAAAAAAAAAACCAGAAGTCTCTGTCGAGACTGTAGCTCTACTGGTTTATACTTAAAACAAAGGAAGAGAAAAGTAGCAGTTGGGACTTGAGACTTTGAATCAGCAATAAATAGGAAAATGATCCTTGCCACTCATCAAAATAACCAGAAGTCTCTGTCGAGACTGTAGCTCTACTGGTTTGTACGTATCAAAAACCATTGCACTATTTTATGTATCTTTGTGTAGTCTACTTGTGTGCCAACTTTTGAAATCAAACTAAAACTGTAGAAGGAGTAGCGTTTTAAAGGAATTTCACAGAAAATTCTATTTTTAGTAACCATGGCAACACCGTTCATCGAAATTAAAAACCGATGCACTATTCTATGTATCTTAGTGTAGTCTACTTGTGTGCCAAGTTATATTGAAATCAGACCAAAACTGTAGGAGGAGTAGCATTTTGAAACAATTTCACAGAAATTTCTATTTTTAGTAACCATGGCACCACCGTTCACCAAAATCAAAAACCGATGCAAAGAATTATGTATCTTAGTGTAGTCTACTTGTGTGCCAAGTTATATTGAAATCAGACCAAAACTGTAGAAGGAGTAGTATTTTAAAGGAATTTCAAAGAGAATTCTATTTTAAGTAACCATGGCAACACCGTTCACCAAAATCAAAAAAACCGATGCACTATTCTATGTATCTTAGTGTAGTCTACTTGTGTGCCAAGTTATATTGAAATCAGACCAAAACTGTAGAAGGAGTAGCGTTTTAAAGGAATTTCACAGAAAATTCTATTTTTAGTAACCATGGCAACACCGTTCATTGAAATCAAAAACCGATGCACTATTCTATGTATCTTAGTGTAGTCTACTTGTGTGCCAAGTTATATTGAAATCAGACCAAAACTGTAGAAGGAGTAGCGTTTTAAAGGAATTTCACAAAAAATTCTATTTTTAGTAACCATGGCAACACCGTTCATTGAAATCAAAAACCGATGCACTGTTCTATGTATCTTAGTGTAGTCTACTTGTGTGCCAAGTAATACTGAAATCAGACTAAAATTGTAGGAGGAGTAGCATTTTGAAAAATTGTTTACAGACAGAAGGACAGACAGACGGACAGACAGACAGACGGACGGACGCCAGACGCATTACTATCGCATAAGCTCTTCTGGTCTCTGACCAGTAGAGCTAAAAACCGATGCACAGAATTATTTATCTTAGTAACAATTGAAACAATTTCACAAAAATTTCTATTTTTAGTAACCTTGGCAACACCGTTCATCACAATCAAAAACTGATGCACAGAATTATGTACCTTAATGTAGTCTACTTGTGTGCCAAGTTATATTAAAATCGGACTAAAACTGTACGAGGAGTAGCATTTTGAAACAATTTCACAAAAATTTCTATTTTTAGCAACCACGGCAACACCGTTTATTGAAATCAAAAACTGATGCACAGAATTATGTATCTTAGTGTAGTCTACTTGTGTGCCAAGTTATATTGAAATCGAACGAAAACTGTACGAGGAGTAGCATTTTGAAACAATTTCACAAAAATTTCTATTTTTAGTAACCTTGGCAACACCGTTCAACTAAATCAAAAACCGATGCACAGAATTATGTATCTTAGTGTAGTCTACTTGTGTGCCAAGTTATACTGAAATCAAACCAAAACTGTAGGAGGAGTAGCATTTTGAAACAATTTCAATTTCACAAAAAATTTCTATTTTTAGCAACCACGGCAACACCGTTCATCGAAATTAAAAACCGATGCATAAAATTATGTATCTTAGTGTAGTCTACTTGTGTGCCAAGTTATATTGAAATCGGATCAAAATTGTAGGAGGAGTAGTATTTTGAAACAATTTCACAAAAATTTCTATTTTTAGTAACCCCAGCAACACCGTTCATCGAAATCAAAAACCGATGCACAGAATTATGTATCTTAGTGTAGTCTACTTGTGTGCCAAGTTATACTGAAATCGAACCAAAACTGTAGGAGGAGTAGCATTTTGAAACAATTTCACAGAAATTTCTATTTTTAGTAACCACGGCAACACCGTTCATCGAAATCGAAAATGGATGCACAGAATTATGTATCTTAGTGTAGTCTACTTGTGTGTAAAGTTATATTGAAATCGGACCAAAACTGTAGGAGGAGTAGCATTTAGAAAAATTGTTTACAGACAGACAGACAGACGGACAGACAGCAGGGTTTAAACTTAACGCTCGCCCACTTGCAAATTGCGAGTAAAAATTGGTGTGGGCTCATAAAAATTGTAAGTTGCTCGCCCACATGGCGAATAAAAATTCTGCAGGGGGCCGAATTCATTCCCAGTCCCTTTACTGAAAAACAGACATTTTATGCAGGTTTTTGATTTAAAACTACAGAAAAATGAAATAAATCACAGCAGTATGGTCCTACTGCTCGTAAATATCCTTCATCTTTTCCATTTAAAATACTATACGATTTTTGAAATTCCCTAAAACGATCGTTTTTTTTCCTAATCCGAATTTCCTCCAACCCTCTGTAAATGGTTGATACGTGAGAGATGTACAATTTTATAAACTCCCAACTACATGTAATCAGTCATATGAATAGTAAGTGTTTTCACCTATTTCAGATATGTTGTAGCTAAAATATTTAACCTAGAAAATCTTATTGTGTCATTGTCAATTTATCAGTTGAAGACATGTACCAGGGCTATGTATTTATATACATTACCAAGCAAAAAAAAAACCAATAGTAAAAATGTTTTTTGAATATAATTCTATTTCCTTTGATTAAATATTTATATGATTTCTGATTTTTATAAAGTAAGAACTCCAATTTTAAACAGATGAATTTATATATGTATTTCATTTGTATCTAATTTTTGTCCCAGTATCTATGCTCTTTAAAAAAATCACAGAGACTGTGGGCGAACAAATTTAGCAGTGGGCTCCTAAATTTGAAATGTCAGGGGCCCACATGGCTCGTGGAAATTTCAGTTAAGTTTAAACCCTGAGACAGACAGACGGACGGACGACGGACACATTACTATCGCATAAGCTCTTCTGGTCTCTGACCAGTAGAGCTAAAAACACACATAAAAAAAGCTCAACTTGATATCTGTTTTATCAGAGCAGGGTTTAAAATTAATCAGATCTCTAAGTTTTATAGAACACCATTAAATAATAAGCATACTAAAATGATAGAAGGGCATGCGATAATCATGTCAGAAATGAGATTTTCCCCAAATTGAACCTATGCACATATGGTCTATATTCTAGGATTTTTCCATCTGTACTAAATACTAAATATGCTTTGCAGGTATGTTGCTTAAAATCATTTTTGTACTAAACTTCTTCAATGTTTAACACTATATTACTAATGGCTACAATTCTATTCCTAGAAATCATACCAGGCAGTGGTGTAGTGCAAGCTATGTCTCTGGGTAAATCAAACTGGACTGGGTTCATTAGTTGGGCGGCTCTGGCCAACTTCTGTAAAGGCGTCAAATGTTCTGTTGTGGGTGTCTCAAGTAAAATCTCCTCAATGACGGGGATAGGGGGCTGTGGCCGAGATTTCCCACGACTCGTATTGCTGCTATTGCTTTTGGTTGAAGATGCATCATCATCTTTTTCTTTAGGTGGCTGTATTCATATAGAAACTTGTGATTCATTTTAAAACTAAATTATTAAATGTTAATGTTCAAACATTCCTCTGCATCTCTTTCAAATTAAACTTGTTGGTCTTTATAACATTGGAGTTAACTTTCCTAATTTATTTCATCACGTACCTCTGGTTTGGGTGGGGACACCTTACACCGATGACATCGCCATTCACCAGGTGGGACATCATCCTCTTCTAGTGGAGGATCACTATACAAGGGAAAAAAATCAATTTGAACATGTTAAAATTTCTATCAAAATATTTCAGTTAAGTTAATCATTATTTCTGGGATTGATCATTACTCTAACATGCATGTATGAACATCATTCATATAAATTACAATAGTGTCTCTCTTGAAGTAATAGTAAATATACATAATGTTATGCTGCAACATACTGGCACTGTAAATGAAAAGCTGCTGGACACCAATCACAACAGAGTAAATCTCCTCCCTCTTTACAGCTGTCACAGCTATCATGATTTACAGCCCGACCCTGTCTTCTACTCTCCCTTTCTTTTCTTCTCTGACGACGCAGGACTTCATCACTTACTGGAGGAGCAACGAGCTTTTGAATTTGCTGCAACACATTTTGATTATTAGTGTTACTAAATATATTCTATTCATTTCTATATTGTATACAATATAAATATCAGTAACAATTCCAATTTGAACACAATTTGGACATTCTTCCATTTTGTAATTGTATCAAAATTATTTCTTAAAAGATACAGGTGAACAACAAAAAAATTGTGTTGTGACAAATTAATCTAAAACCCAAGATTTATTCGTGTCAATAGGAAAAAAAAATCCGGAGCCATTTAAGGATCAGTTCATAGTTGACATTCTAATAAATTACAATAATATTACAGTAGGTAAACTGAAGAATGGCCGCCATGACGGTTTTCATATTTTAGATATTCTCCACATGTACAAAAAAAATCCATCAAGACCGAATTAATGTTTAATTTAATTAATGACAAACCTCCATTAATCCTCCAGAAGTATCAAGATCGTATTCCACCGTTGCCATTATTATTTTCGGTCCTTTAAAGTGGAACTTTGCAAATATTCTCCCCTTGCCTAGATACCCCACAACACCATTTTGTCGTGCAACAGCACAATAATCTAACAGTAAACTTTTTAGAAATTAAGAAAAACGATAAATCCTTGACACATGAACGTCACAAATATAACAAAACAACAAACATAGATGTAATCAAACTATACAAATGAGTGCATACAGTTTGCATTTGTAAGAAAAACGCTAAAGTTTAGCTGCTTATCCAGAAACTTGGCGCAAAATGTCGGCCATTAAAAGAGCGCATGCGTTCATCCGGGAAATGGCTTTTTACACAGGCGCAGATCTTAGCGGAAGTCGGTAAGGTGAAGGTCACTTATAGCAGAATTTTGGCGGGAAAAGTATTCCATTTGAATTTCTTTTCTTATGATATAAAATGTGACCAAAAAAGAACGTTTTTATATTATCGGTCGTTATTAAATTTTACCAGTAATCTTATGCTCCAAAATTAAAGATTCGGGGGTATATCATTTTGCCTGTCTGTACGTCTGTCTGTTTGTCCATTTTACTATTAATGGTATCTGTATTGAAACTGTCGACAAATTTTTTTATCTTGGTATAAATCTTAAATGTAATGGCAAATTTAATCTTGCTGCAGCTCGGTTAGTTGATAAAGCCAGAAAAGCATTATTCAAGGTAAAGAAATCCCTCGGTGTACATCATTCCTGTCAATTGCTTGAAAAATTATTTGATACTATGATAATCCCCATTTTGCTTTACGGCAGCGAAGTTTGGGGTATTGACTTAGTCATAAAATTTTAGGCTCAGCATCTTATGAAAAATTTCATATTAAATTTTTAAAAGAAATCTTAGGAGTTCATTGCAAAACTTCAAATAATGGCTGCTATTCTGAACTCGGTAGACTCCCAGTCAAATCAAAAATTATTATGTTTGCTTTCAAATACCTTGATCATTTAATTTCAATGCAACATGCATTGGCACATGAAATTTTTATCAAAACTAAAGAAACTAACACATGGTCTATGAGTTTAAAAACTTGTCTTAATAACTTAGGATTTTCTTATTTAACAAATTTTAATATGTCAATGAAACCAGTGCTTGGCATTATTAAACAACGCTTTCATGATCAAATATTACAAGAACAAAATGCAAATATAATGAACTGCTCAAAACTGTCTTTTTATCCGAACTTTTGTCTTGATAATAAACGTGCTCATTATGTTGACAAACTAGAGTCACTACATGATAGATCATTTTTAGCAAAAATTAGGTTAAGTGCACACATTTTAGAAATTGAAAAAGGTAGGTATGTTGAAATTGATAAAAATAATAGGATATGTAAAGTATGTCAAAACCTTGATATTGAGGATGAAAAACATTTCATTTTGCTATGTCCAAAATATGAAGCACAGAGAAACATATTCAAAACAAAACTATCTACTTTTCCTAACTTGAACCAAATAATCCACAATAATGACAAATTGTTAAAACTATTGATGAAAACTAGTTGTAAAAAGTTCTTAAAATATTTTCCTCATTTTTATGTCAAATATCTGATATAAGAAAAAATATTTTAGCTATAAATGAGTAACTACATTGAACTGAATCATATGTATGTATTTATATAGTATTTTATGAGTACAATACATAATTTGCTACACCAATTGTTTGTATTCTAGTTCTGTTCTACTGTATTTTCATGCTTATCACTATGTTTTCTATGGGCCTTTACCAATTACTGTAATTGTGTTTGTGCCAATAAAATATTTGTATTTGTATTTGTATTTGTCAATACTCACGGCCCATTCTGTCTACAATTTTCCGCAAAAACGTTCACCTTGCCCATTAACTTTTGAATGGGTGGGCTATGGTTATTTCAAAAGTACAGGCACTTGTTTCGCATAGGCGTCGGACCCCCCCTTTTTTTTTTTTTGCAAATATAGACATAAATTTCTATGCATTGAAAATTGGGGTATACCTTTTTTGTTGGTTTAGCCCCCCCCCCCCCCCCCCCCCCCCCCCCCCCCACTTTCAATTAGCCCCAACCCCTCTTTAAATTTGCTTCCAACGCCCATGTTTTAGAATTAAATGTTTAACCCATAGTATAATAATATCACTACCTTCCGTTATCAGTATGCTATGGGTTAAAATTTTAACTCCGAAATTAACAAGTGCCTGTTGAGTTGGTGCTAGGGATTTCATAATTCACACGATCGTTGTGAAAAGACCTTTCAATGGGTTTAATATTTTTGACCTTGACCTTAGAGTCTGACCCGCTTTTTAAAAAACTTGGCTTGGTCATTACTTTTGAATACTAATTACCAGAGCTTTCATATTTCATAGGTGTATTTCTTGTGAAAATACCTTCCCTGGGATATCAACAATTTTGAACTTATAACCTTGACGTTTGACTTGCACCTGAGAAATTGCAACTCTCACTATAAACTGGGAACACAAGTGTTTCACAAACACGTACACTTTGTTATCCCCCTGTAATAAAATAAAAAAAAATTGTCTATCTGTCTGTCTGATTGTCTCTTTGTCTGTAACACTTTAACCTTGCGCATAACTTTTTGAATAGTATAGGCGCTATGGCCTTCCAATACACATGTATCACAGGTGTATTCCATAATTATGACAAGACCTTTCTTTTGGTACCACCAAATTTGACCCCTTGACCTTGACATAGGAGTTTGACCCAGGTCATCTTAAATTGTTTGGTTGCCCTATACCGACCGACTGGCAAAAATGACCCGACTCAAAAACTTTTTTATATTCCAGGACACTATATTTTTATGCCCTCATAATAGAAGATTCAGGGGTATATAGTCTTTGCCCGGTCCGTCCATCTGCTTGTTAGTCTGTTTGTCCACAAAAACTTTAACCTTATACCCATAACTTTTGGTTGAGGCTATGACTTTCATATTTTACATGTGTATTCAATTTGACAAGATCTTTCTTTTGGTATCATAAAATATTACCTTTTGTCCTCGGAGTCTGACCCTGTTTTGCAAAATTTTACCCAACTTCAACCTTTGCTACATCCTTTGAACCATTGATGCTTGGGATTTCATGCTTCACATGTGTAATCTTTGTGACAAGACTTTTTATTGGATCCCAACAACTTTGACCTTGACCTTGGAGTATGACCTTCTTTAAAAAAAATTAACCTTGGCCCGAACTTTTGAGCAGTTAGGGCTAAGGCTTTCACACTTCACATATGTAATCCTTGTGACAAGACTTTTCATTGGATATCAACAACTTTGACCTTTGACCCTGGAATTTGACCTACCTGATACTTTTAAAAAATATAACCTTGGCTTAATTTTTGAACAGTTAGGGCTAGAGCTTTCATACTTCACATATATATATATATATATAGCCTTGTTGCAAGACTTTTCATTGGATACCAACAACTTTGACCAATACCTTGGACTTTGACCTATACTTTTACGAAAATATTAACCTTGGCCCTAACTTTTGAACAGGTAGGGTTAGGGCTTTCATACTTCAAATATGTAAACCTTGTGACAAGACCCTCCTTTAAATACATGTACAAACACTCTTGACCCTTTGACCTTGAAGTTTTACCTACTTTTAATAACCATAGCATTTGAACAGATGGTGTTAGGGCTTTCATATTTCACAAATGTTTTTCTTGTGAGAAGACCTTACTTTGGGTACCAACATATTTAATTTGCATTTCAGAAATTTAAACCTTCGCTATAAATTGCCATACGGGGGCATCTGAGTGTTTATAAATACATATTGCTTTTTATGCCCCCGGATCGAAAGATCCCGGGGGAATATTGTTTTTGTCCTGTCTGTTTTTTCCTCTCTGTTTGTCTGTTGTCAACTTTAACCTAGCCCATAACTATTGAGTGGGTGGGACTATGGCTTTCGTATTTCACAGGTGTATTTCCCGTAACAAGACCTTCCTTTGGGTTCAAACACTTGAGAGAATCAACCCTTGCCATAAGCTACCATACGGGAGCATCAGTGTTTCACAAACATATTTTGTTTCATTTTATTCCTCTTATCATGTTAACAAATATGTTAACTGTTATGATTTTCTGGAAAAAAGATTTTCCCATCTACCTTCCTATCCAATAATTTTACCCTGAGTGACAGTCAGGCGAGGGCAAACAAGTATTATTTTAAAGATGGCTCCACCTTTAAAAAAATATCAAACTTTAACCTTGGCCATAACTTTTAAACAGATGGTGCTAGGGCTTTCATACATGTCATGGGTATTCATTATGATGAGACCTTTCAAGGGGTATAAAATTTGTTGACCTTTTGATTTACGAGTTTGACCCACTTTTTAAAAACTTTAACCTTGGCCATAATTGTCCCCAGCTTTCGCGAAAGTGAGGGGACATTAAATCTAATTTGTCTGTCTGTCTATCCATCCGTCAAAAAAAACTGTAACCTTGGTCATATCTTTTGAATGAGAGGAGAAAGAACTTTCATATCATACATGCATATTACCTGTGACAAGACCTTTCTGAATACATTGTGATTTTCGACCCCGTGGCCTTGAAGTTTAATCTATTTAAAAAAAAAAAATTATAACTTAACTTTGAATTGGCCATAACTTTTTAATGAAAAGAGATAGGGCTTTCATATTAAACATCATGAATTCCAACCTGTGTCCTGTTCAAATGTGAAGTGAAATTAACAGCAAAAACACTAATCTCAGATTTTGAACAATTTTCAATCCCAAATTAACAGCAAAAACACCCCCCTCTGAAACTGGACACTGCATTGTTTAATACTTCATTTTACAATAAATAAACTCTTTAAAACACTGGTATTGATCAATGGCATTTTTAATAACAAATAAATAAACATATTCATACACAATATAAATGTTAAAAATTTAACAAGTTTGTTAAAAATTTAACAATCTACGTAAGAAACTCAATGTTGTCAGTATTTCTTTCCAGAGAAACACAATATGAGATTAATAACACAACACAGACTGTGGTCATGTGACTATTATCAGACTTTGGTCATGTGACTATTACCAGAGGTCCCTCACCGAGATTACGCAGCTGTTTAATTTTTAAATCTAAAACTCTAAATACGAGTCACTATCAATCATCATCAGAATCTTCATCTTCTTCGTCAGGAATCGGAAATCTTAAAATTGCAGCTATCCCAGACAGGAGTCCCAACTCTGAAAACCAGAATGACAGATGCCTTTAAAGCTTCAACA